GACGTGGAGCGGCTCCGGGACCGCGAGGACAGGCGGCTGGAGCGGCCGGACCGCGAGGTCGAGGGCGACGGCTTCTCCTGGGGGGAGCCGGGCCACATGTCGTTCACGTAGTTGGGCATGGCGGCCGCGGCCTTCCCGCAGCTGAGGAGCCTTCCGCCGACCAGCAGGCGTCTGGAGAGGAACCGGAGGCGGGAAGAGTCGGTGGGAGGCCGGGAGGCGGCGCCCGCGAGCGCGCGACGGCCTCGCCCTCAGCCCGGGCCGCGTCCCGGGGCCCCGCGCGGGCTCGACCCCCGGCGCCGGAGAACTCACCCCCGGCCGCGGACGCCTCCCTCGAGACGGAGAGCAAGGCGCAGCGGGCGCCTTCCCCTCGCAGCTCGGGACGAGGAGGGGCTGCTCCGGGGCGCTCTGCAGGAGTGAGCGAACAACCACCACCTTCGACGTCCGGACGCGAACTGAGCCCCGCGTCTGCTGACGCGTCGAAAGTACTAGAAACCCGGAGCCTGCGCAGTGCCGTTTGCGCGGTGGGCGTGGCTTTCTGGCCTAACCGCCGCCCGGCTGGAGGCTCCCTGGGTTGCGCCTGCGCAGACAGGCCAGCGGCTCTCGGGCTACATCCGGGTATCCTGCTACGGCTTTGTTTTGTATTTTAAGAGAAATGCCGCGGTCTGGGGTTGCCGGGACGGGTGGCACTGTGCGGAGGGACCCCGGACTCTGTCAGGGGGAGCGGCCGCGGGCTGGGCGGGGCTCGGACCCCCGCGGGCCAGTGGAGCCTCCCTGGCCGTCTGCTCCCTGGGGCTCGCCTGGGCCCCGGGCCACACCCCGCCTGCGCAGGACTGATAGACCGAGATGACCGCCGCCACCCTCCGGAAATAGAGTCTAAATTTTAAAGAAGGGCTTCTGGGTTCTTATTGTTGTTTGACTTCCATGATTTGGCTTAGAGGTCAGCGAGAGAGTCACAGATGCCTATTCTCAAGGGCAGTATGCCCGGCCCAGGAGGCTAAAGGGTGATGGCCAGAGTACGCAGACATCCAAGCACAGAGAACAAAGAAAACTTTATTCAAAGGGCTCAGCAAGACCCCCTCTCACAAAAGAGAAGCAATGCTGGCTGTAGTCTGAGGTGACCTATATAACCCACAAGGGCAGTAGGCAGCTGGTGTGGACGTGTGGACCCGGGGCTTCAGCAGAGCCGGCTGCTGCCCAAATGGCAGATAAGGGTCTTACAGCTACCCAGACCTGAAGGTCACGCTCAGGGGATCTTGCTAGTACGGTTGTAGCTGCCCTGGCGGAGTGCCATCTCGAGGTGAAGGGGGTGGAGGCTGGTTTACTGTTCTTACTAACTACTGTTGTAAAAAGACTATTCTAAACTATGAGAGAAGAGGCTACTGGGCCAATATTCCCCACCCTTTGGTTTAATAATTTAAGGGGCGCATATGGTCAGGAGCATGGGTGAAGGTCGTTTCTTCTGGAGCTGCTTCCTGCTAAGAAGGGATGGAAGTAGTCAGGGGGGTACACTTGACCAGGTACCCTCCTAGGAGCATTTGATGGATGGGCTGATTGCTGAAAAGTCTCATCTTTCCCAAAAGTATGTTCTACATGCACCTGAATAGACAAGTTTCAGTTAGTATGAGGCAAAAAAAAAACTGCTGTTAGCAGACCCAAGGTAGGCTTTAGCCTACCCCAAATGGGTCCTGTACCCCATTATTTTGTTGGATAATTTTTTCAAGGTCTCTGAGATGTTTGATTTGTTCCTTGATGGCATAGCTGCTATCAGTTAAAGCAGCACATATTTTTTTTTTAACCTCATCGCACCTTTGGTGGTGGCGTAAGAGTAGGTAATTGATAACTGCAAGATTGTCAAGGATAAGTTGCCTATGTTCCTGTTGCTCTTGATTTAACAGTGCAGTGGCAGAGGAGGTGTAGTTAATGCTTTTTGCCACTATGCGTGCCAAATGTGTGACACCTTTATAGGCTCCTACCGCCAGTCCTGGTATACCAACCAAGGAGAAAGTGAGGGCAATGTATTCTGCTTTAGACAGTTTATAGATACAAGTCTCATCCAGCACTAGACTTCTTGTTTCACGGACTTGTTGATACTGGAAAAGCTTTTTATGGAGTAGTACAGCAGCTAGATGGCTTAGGCAGCATCAGGAGTTATGAGGCAGATTGGCAGGGATATAGTTAAAAGTATAACTCTCAGAGGTAAAAAACCAGCCACTAGGTAAGGAAACATGGTCCTCCATATATAAAATTCATAGTTGGTACAAGTAAAGTTGCCTCATCTTAGTTCTATACAGTCGTGGGTGCAATTTTGAACCCGGGCATAGTGTTATTTTCCAGCATTATAATCCAGGAGGGGTATAACATTAGAGCATCCATAGGTTTTTTGGTTTTTGTTTTTTTTTTAATATGAGGGCTTTTCCCAAATATAGGAGCCAGCATAGGTAGTAGGTTTATTACCGTGACCAGATGAGAAGATAGTTAGGTTTTGCATATTTGCCACAGGTTTGCACACTGGAAGCAAGCAGGACCCGAGTACATGTCCCAACTCCAGTTCCTGCCTCAGACAAAAGGTAGAGGTATTAGTCATTTGGGCCAGGCAGAACCAGATGTTGTAATGCATGTGGTCCTGCAAGGACTCAAAGAAGGAGGATCCTCCATATTGTATAGCACAGCTGTTTAGGGAAAACAAGCAGAAAATTATAGCCTGGGACAGCAAGGATTTAACAGCCACAAGGAAGTTGCCTTGTAAGAAACACAAGAAGAGGTAGAAGGAGATGTAAAGAAATGGGTCAGAGCCAGGCGCCGGTGGCTCACACCTGTAATCCTAGCTACTCAGGAGGCTGAGATTTGAGGATAGTGATTCAAAGCCAGCCCGGGCAGGAAAGTTCTTGAGACTCTTATCTCCAATAAACCGCTAGATAACTGGAAGTGGTGCTGTGGCTCAAAGTGGTAGAGCCCTCGCCTTGAGCTAAAGAGCTGAGGGACAGCGCCCAAGCCCAGAGTTCAAGCCCCACGACTGACAAGAAAGAAAGAAATAGGTCAGGTGTTACTTGTTTGGGGGTAGATCCGCTGGCTGGCATTGTCGTCTCTGTCCTTGATATCCTGGGTGCCTTGTGTTTCTATGCTGTGAGGGTGACTGGATCTGAGTTGGTTTGTCGGTAGAGACAGAAGTCGGTCTGGTATTCTCAGAGGAGTGAGAAGGTCAGCAGCCCTTGACATACCAAGATGAATCCAGGGGGCAGCCTTAGACCTGTATAGCTGTAGGAATAGAGAGAGTGAAGATCCTTCCTGCTTGGCAGAAAACTGAATGGATTCTGTGTCTGTGGCAGACACTGTTTAGGAACATTTGTCAAGTCTCCTGCATTTATGGAGGGCTCAGAGAGTGGAGAAGGAGGGTCTGGGAGCTGCAAGCCATGTAGGTTTTAAAGGAGGGAAGGCAGATTCAGAGAAGGTGAGAGTCCAAGGCATGTTTTGAAATGAGAGAGGTAAAGATGGAATGAAAGTACAGTCAAAAGAAAGCATGTTGGGGGCTGGGAAGGTGGCTCAGTGGTAGAGCACTTGCCTTGCATGTCTGAGGCCCTGGGTTCCATTCCTCAGCACCACATAAGCAAAAAGAAAAAAGCCGGAAGTGGCGTTGTGGCTCAAAGTGGTAGAGCGCTAGCCTTGAGCTGAAGAGCTGAGGGACAGCGCCCAGGCCCAGAGTTCAGGCCCCACGACCTGACCCCCCCCAAAAAAAAAGGAAGAAAAAAAAGAAAAGCGTGTGGGGCTGGGAAGGTGGCTCAGTGGTAGAGTGCTTGCCTTGCATGCATGAGGCCCTGGGTTCAATTCCTCAGCACCACATAAGCTTTAGAAATGCTGGAAACAGTGCTTTGGCTCAAGTGGTAGAGCACTAGCCTTGAGCTGAAGAGCTGAGGGGCAGTGCCCAGGCCCAGAGTTCAGGCCCCATGACTGACCAAAAAAA